AAATAGCACGCTTCTGGAGGCGCTCGTCTTCCACCAGACACTAAGCACCCCAAAAGTAAGCTACATCGGACGGTTCCATCGAGCACACCCCAAGGGAGAACTCGAATAATCCATGTTTTTCCCCCAAGATCCAATAATGAGAACGAGTTTATATTACTTAGTCCATTTCATACAACAAGAGTTCTCAGAAATACATTATTACAATACCAAGTTTAGAGTGCAAAATTTAAACAGCGGAATAAACATCTAATGATAAGATACAAGGATCCATTTGAGCCCACCAGAAGAATCCTCCACACAACAGCTACTCCTCAAGCCACACCTACAACAGAGGTAAATAAATCCTGAGTACACAATGTACTCGCAAGACTTACCCAACTAGTGGGAATAATTTCTTGACTCTAAAGGATATGATAGGCTTTATGGTTTGCTGGGTTTCCTTTTTGCAAAAAGCATTACTAGTAGTGAATCCTTATGTATGTATTTTATTAACAGTCATGATTAGTTCATTAGCTAACCATTCTATGTAAGCACCTGTTCTACTTTCAAGCAAGAGTTGAGCAATCAGATCCATTCATTCCCTTTCATCTTCCAGTTCTTACTACGATGCTAGATCGTAGACAAGTCGTACCGTATTACACGGCGATTCATGAATCAATATAGCCCAGCTAGGTGCCCCAAAACACACGCCCTGCTTGTACCCCAGTCACAAGCATGACCAACCCACCACTCTCCTGTCAAGGGGTCTAGGTCCCCGTCCAAATTTGGACTCCATGCCCCACACCTGAGTCCTGGACTCAGTGTGGTGCTTAGACCTCCACCATTCCCGCCTCCAATCAGTCGATCCGAAAAGAGCCAGAACCCATGACAAGAGAGCAACGAGCCTTCCCGCCCCCATAAGCAAGTATGTGCTCAGGATAATAAGTCTGTGACCTGACTAGAATCTAATGCAACGGCCGGTCCATAACCGACACGGATATGGAAAACAGTGTAACCAAGCTATGCCCTGTTGGCCACGAAACACAACCTCTTACACCCACCAATACCCGTACCATATGCGTGCCCGGTCTCCATTTCCTTTCACCATTTTATTAGGAGAGTAATATTAATAATCACCTATTACGAGTAACGACAGGTTACTCACGCTACCGATAGCCTAAGCATAGCAACTACTCGACCTATGCTAGTAGGACTCATAGGTAGGTTATCTATGCATGTAGTTTCAATATAAATCCTGTAACGTAAATGCACATCACACACACACACACATATATATATATATCCAGTGATCATTCAAAACAAGGGTTATGCACCGAGGCTTGCCTTGGACAGGCGCGGTGTCAGCTCAGTCAGTCAGTGGTGGCTCTAGGACCTCCTCCTGCATGAGGATCTCCTCCTCGATCACCTCCTCAAACTCATGATCTCCAATGGTCACGATCTCCGCCAACTCATTCTCTACATGCATGCTATGATAATGCAACATTTAGTATTTTGAAAACAACAACTCTTAAAATAAGAATACATCTACTAACCCACTAAGCTAGCTCTAATGACTAAGGCAGTAAGCTAACTATCATCATTACCAAGCAAAGTGTTGGGTTCAACTAACAAACACCAAGCTTTACAAATGAAGGATATATCTCTATTTCTACTAATGATTTAATGTATATTTGAAACAAAGAGCATTTAACTACCCTTATGTTTAGTTTATTCTAAAGCTACAAAAATTACAGTGAACATATAATAATACCACGATGCTGCTATAAAAATTTCAAGGTTTTAGCTATCACCAATCTACCACAAAAATTCCTACAATAATTAACCTAATAATATTAAGCACTCTTAAATGATTTAATAGCTCCTGATATCGACAAGTATATATATGAACTAAATATACTAATAGATAGAGCACAATTTTAGGAACTAAACAAAATTGGTTTCATAATTTTTGGATACCTACATGATTTTATATGATTTACCAAAGATCAGCTCAGAAATACAAATGAAAAGCTATTTCTATTCTCCACGAAAAAGCTAAACTGATTTCGGCCCAACGCGGCCCACACGACGCAACGCGCACGCGTGAGCGCACGACGGCCCACAGGCACAGCCCACGCGAGGCCGGCCTGCAGCGCGAGGTAGCCCACGGTGGGGAAATCCCACGCGCGCTGGTACATTAGCAAAAATGCCCCTAGACTATGAGCAAAACAACCCGCAGTCCACGTTACTATTTCTACAGACAACGACTTTACAACGAAACCCTCGGATCTTTCTCCTCTTTAAAACGGCAAGGCCCCCGGCCTTCCCCGTTCACTCTGGCACGGCGAGCGATGGCACTGGCGCTTGCGCCGGCCACATGGAACCCCTGCTGACCTATCTACGAGACTGACGCTCACCTAGGGTTCGATGCGAAGCGATGGGCGGTGGTGGCACGAACGAGGGTGAAGCAGAGCAGGCTCTCCCTGGCGGCGGATGACCTACAACGGCAGCAACCGTGTTTCGATGAGCCACAACCCTAACATGACAGTAGAGATAGGGGATAAGCACCAGGGGCACACCGCAAACCAGGCCGAAGTTGTGGTTCGGCCGGCGACTACCTGAGCAGTGCTGGCCATGTGCGCGCGGCGAGCACGGCGACAAGCCACAGTGGACACGGCCGCGTCAGCGGCAACGGGGAGGCGGTAGCGCTCCCACTGGCGTGCGCACGGTGGAGAGGGAGCCAAGGCGAGCTAGTGGTGCAGAGGAATTAGCGCGGGGTGAAGTGGTGGAGGCTGGCCATGGCGTGGGCGGTGACGGGCCTTAATGGCACGACGGCAGGCGGAGTGGGGTCGGCTGGAGAGGGGGCGTGAAGGCGGAGACGCGAGCACGAGGAATTGATGAGAGGTGCTCGCTCTCTGACTCGCCGTGACACGACTTGATGGCGGCGGAATGCAGAGAGAGAAGAGAGAGAGAGACGGCGAGGCAGGTGGGCTCGGCTCGGTCTTGCCTTGGCGAGACACGAGCGGCGTGCCCGTGTCCGATCGGCGTGGCCCGCGCGTCGCAGTGCCATAAATGGCATAGCAACGGCGGCTCGCCCACGTGCGCGCGGTAGAGGAGACACGCACAGGACCGACAACAGCGCAGAGGTGCAGCGGATCAGCGCGGACGCGACGACGATGCGACGACAGCGACAGCGTCGCGACGCGAGTAGTGTCGGTAGTGTGAACGCGACGGCAGCACAGCGCGGCTGCGGCGGCACCCAAGACGGCTACGTGAGGCAGAGCACCAGGGCGCGGGGCCAGCGGCTCGCTGCGGCCGGCCTCGACCAAGCCCAGGTGGCTCGACCGGCCAAGCGCGGCGGCAGGGTTGACCGCGCGGGACGCGGCCATGTGCGCGACGTGAGAAGGCCACGCGGTGACCGCGCAACCGGCGCCAACCAACCCGAGACAGTGACACGCATGAATTTTAAAGCATTCAACACGACCAAACGATTGCTTTAGGACCTAAATCATCTTCACCATGCTCAAGATGGCACATGAGACCACCAAATCGAGTTATAACACCACACCACTCTTTAACCTAATCTCTCGCAATAAATTGCTAAACATAACAGTGTCTAACTGTTGGCAGACTTGAAAATTTCTAAGTTTTGGAGCTGAATTTGATTTCCATTTGCGATTTCTAAGCTAGTAGAGATATTAGCCAGTAATATCATTTTTTGACCACAAGTATTTCACTGTCATTTATAAAATTTGTACTTCCAACTTTATTAAGGTGACACATATATGTTCTATATCATTTTTGCTTAATAAAAATTAGTTTTAAACCCTAAGTGATATAACATGACTTCGAATCAACTTTCGTTTCGCCTTTTAGTTGATCGTTTCAAGTTACAGAAATTAATTTATACACTTTATCACACGTATTAATAGATAAACATGATGCTCATAATATATTTTAGTCAGCCTGTTCGCTTATTGGTTTCAGCCAGCCCAAACCAGACAGCTAACAGTGTTTTCCTCTCACAAAAAACTAGCGCCAGCCAACCCAAACCAGCCCCAGCACCAACCAGCGAACAGGCTGATTTACTGTACAACACTGAGGGTGTTACGATGAAATATATGAGTGGCTTACAAAATATTAAAAGAAAATCTTGCGTAAGCTTTGAACTCAAGATCCCGTGAAACAAAACTAACCACTTTACCAGATAACCACAAATGTACATTTATTCATACACCGTTTATATTTATTATATCCTTGTTAAATAAAGTATAATGCACCAAGTAAAATAAATCTACTCAAATCAAATCCCTATCTCTGTTCTGTTCCTTCTCCCGTTGCCCACATCGGCTTGGATCTGCTGCACACGGCGGCACGGCGCTGCTCGCCGGACTGCTGCTGTGGTGCTGTTCTGTTCAAGCGACAAAAGAGCCGCAGACCACGACCTACTCTCGGGCTGGGTTCCGCCACTGCAGTCCTGCTCCAAGGCTGCGACTGGATCGCAGGGGGCAGGGGCGCCGCCACTGCACCCCAGCTCGACGGCTGCGGCTGCTCGCAGGGGCCGTAGATACGCCGCTCTCCGGTCGTCCGACGCAGCAGGCACGTGCACAGTTGTCGACCTCGAAGTCCCTGACGCCCGGCCGTTGCACCCCTAGGTCATCTGAACACCCTCCGCCTTCAGCTCCGTCAGGCACTCTGTTCCTCGTCGGCTAATTGCAGTCACAAGGTTCCATAAATCGTACCATCCATGCAGTAGCAAATAATTCCTGACATATGTGCTAGTTGGTCCTGTTTAGATTGCTTACCATTCTCATGTTTAAATACAAAGTTTATTGCATAAGGCATGTCATGCATGTAAGGGCATTAGGTTCAAAACTTCATTGCCAGTTGTGCTAGAATTTTTGTAAAATGCTAAAGTATAGACATATGTGACTAGCGATTGAGATAAATTCATTTGAACTACGATATGGCATACTAACTAAATACTGGTTTTGTTCTCTATTGCAGATCATCCTAAGGGAATGGATCGAAGTTGGATAAGTAAACCAAGACGGGACCCTACTTACAAAGATGGCGTCGACCAATTCTTGTCTTTTGCTTTCCGTGACCTTCCACTTGATAGCAAGATATCATGTCCTTGCAACAATTGTGAAAACAGAGTAACCCAAAATCGTGATGCAGTTGAGACACACCTAAAGTGTGATGGTATACTTCAGGGTTATACAATATGGAATCACCATGGAGAGGAGTATGACCCACCATCATTTGCATTTGCTCATTTGCCAGATAACAATGAGAATCTGCCTACTCCGGGTGTCCTAAGGACTGCAACAGTCGATGGACATGGAAGATTGGATGACATGCAAGGAATGCTACAAGCTGTATTTGCTATGCCAGCAAACTATGAATCTATATCAAGCATGTCTGAAGATGAACTAGGTGATGGTCAGTCTGATTGAGGAAATATGGAACATAATGTACCTGAGGATGTCAATCATGTACAAAATGATACTGCTAGAAAACAACAAGATATTTATGCAAGCTTCTTGAAGGATGCACACACAAGGTTGTACCCTATCTGCGAAACATTTAGTAAGTTGTCATTTTTAGTTAACATATATCACCTAAAGTGCTTACATGGTTGGACACAAGAGTCTGTTACAAATCTACTTGGTGTACTATCTGATGCATTTCCACCTGAGGCAAATCTACGAAAGACATATTATGAGGTAAAAAAGATTATTCGTGGTTTAGGTCTTAACTATGTGAAAATCCATGCTTGCCCTAAAGATTGCATGCTTTTTCGAGGTGATAGAGCTAAACAAGAGTATTGTCATGTGTGTCAAAGCTCTCGTTGGAAAGATGATGAGAAAAGTGGTTCTTTGGCTAACCGCAAAAGGAAAAGGAAGCCAGCAAAAGTATTGCGCTATTTTCCATTGATACCAAGGATCCAAAGGTTATTTGTCACTAACAAAACTTCAAATGACATGCGATGGCATGATGAGGGCCGTACAAAGGACGGAAAACTGCGACATCCAGCTGATGGTAAAGCTTGGGAAGATTTTAATGATAGAAACCCCGATTTTGCAGCAGATGCTCGCAATGTACGCCTTGGTCTTGCAAGTGATGGATTTAACCCTTTTCAGAACTGTAGTGTGAAACACAATACTTGGCCTGTGATGCTCATTCCTTATAACTTACCACCTTGGATTTGCATGAATCAAACATCTTTGATTTTGTCAATGATCATTCCTGGACCAAGTTCTCCGGGGAATGATATTGATGTATATTTGGAACCATTGATCGATGAGCTCCTAGAGTTGTGGAAGGGAGTGCAAACAAAATACGCTTGTACACGGAAAGAATTTCCTCTCCGAGCTGCACTATTGTGGACTTTAAATGATTTTCCTGCATTGGCCTACTTATATGGTTGGAGCACAGGTGGTAAATATGCATGTCATTCTTGTGGTGCATCAACAAAATCATTTTCCCTAAATAAAAGTAAGAAGATGTGCTATATGGGTCATCGTCGATGGTTGCCACATGATCACAAATATCGAAAGGAAAAGACCAAATTTGATGGTTCCAGAGAGACTGAACTTGCACCTGAAACAATGAGTGGCACTTCTGTTCTAAAACTGGTAGAAGGCAGAGAGTTTGTGTTAGGGAAGAAGGTCTGCATTGCAAAGAGTAAAGGCGAAAAGAAACAGAAAAACACCAAAAGACAAGATGGAAACCATCAGGAATGCAAGCGTAAAAGAGGAGAAAGCACGGAAAAATCGAAGGATGGTAAGAAAGAGAAGAAACCAGAAGATAGGGTGAAAAAGAGGTCAGTATTTTTTCAAGCTACCATATTGGGAAAAGAATAAATTAAGACACAATCTAGATGTCATGCACATAGAGAAAAATGTATCTGAGAATTTAATTGCGACTTTATTGAATTTGTATCCTAAAACAAAGGATGGCCTTGATGCACGCCTAGATCTAGTGAAACTTGGATGTCGGCAAGAACTTCATCCAGTGGAAGATGATGACGGAAATCAAACTATACCTGATGCACCTTTTACAATGTCTAGAGAAAAAAAGGAGATTCTTTGTTCAGTAATCCAGAACATTAGAACCCCTGATGGCTATGCATCTAACCTTTCTAGGCGTGTCAGCATGAAGGACTGCAAGCTGAGTGGATTGAAAAGTCATGATAATCACGTTTTGCTACATGACATTCTTCCCGTGGCTCTTTGATCTTGTTACCCAAGCAAAGATGTCATGAAAATAATTACAAAATTATCTAATTTCTTCAAAAAATTGTGCTCCAAGGTGTTAGATGTGTCTGAGCTTGACAAGCTTAAAGACAATATCGTGATGACACATTGTAACATGGAGAGAACTTTTGTTCCACCATTTTTTACTATAAGTGTGCATTTGTTGGTGCACTTGGTAGAAGAAGCAAAACTTGGTGGTCCTGTGCACTACCGGTGGATGTACCGTCTAGTAAGGTATTTCTTCATCTTTTGATTGTTCATCTTCAATTATATTGAGAACTAATGTGTGCTCTTAATTGCATTTAGATATTTTGTTCGGCTAAAGGCACTTGTGAAGAATAGAGCTCACCTAGAAGGTTCAATTGCTGAAGGATATCGAAATGAAGAATGCATGACCTTCTGTACGAGATTCATTGAAGGAACTACACGGTTTACTAGACCATCCCGAAACCCTGAAGTTTCAGACAAGATAAAAGACATGTACCTATTTGATAGTGCAGGGGAATCAATTGGAAAAGCTAGCATTGTTGCCCAATTTAGCAATCAGCTTCTTGTTCAAGCACATCGATACGTCTTGCGCCACTGTGATGAACTTCAAATTTTTCGCAGGTGTGCACTATAGCTATCTCTTGTTTATTTTATTTTTCATGAACTGATTACATGACACTATATAGTTGATTCTATTATTATAGAATTTTTTTGGATGAGGAGAAAAGCAGACTTAGTCCCTCAACTAGCTTAACACCTTTTATGGTAGAGAAGTTGATTAATGAACGCTTTCATGACTGGTTGGAACAGAAGGTACAGCAGAAAATGATGTTTATACCATAAGTTCAATAGGATGGATGTAATTATTTCCTTATGTACAGGTTCTACTTGATGATGGACCAGGGATCACTGAAAAGGTCAGAGCACTAGCTGAAAAACCGAGCAAATGTGGTGTGCGATACAGTGGTTATATTATTAATGGTTTCAGGTTCCACACCATGAGTTGTGAGGTTGCACGCTTGACACAAAATAGTGGTGTAGTCAACATTGCAGATGATGGTGTTAATTATTATGGTAGACTATCATATATAATAGAATTGTCATACAGAGACTTCATGGTAGTGCTTTTCAAATGTGACTGGTATGATGTCCATCATCGTGCTGGTTTACGGAAAGATGAATTTAGATTCACTCTTGTGAACTTTTCTCGAAGAATACACACCAGAGAAAAATTAGAGCATGAGCCTTTTGTCTTCTCTTCACAAGTGCAGCAAGTCTATTATGTTGAAGACCCAAAAGCTAAAGGATGGAATGTAGTGGTGAGTGTTACACCACGAGATCTTTTCAACATGGGTACTGAAGTATCAGCAAATGAAGTAGATGAGTGACATGGTGCAGTCATGTACTGGCGTTCCAGATCATCTGGTTCAGACCTTCATCATTGTTTTGGTTTCATTTGTTCTGAACAGTGTCTGTCTGCATCACATGAATTGGGTGCACTGTTTTTCTTAGTTACACTATGCTTTATTTTTTTCCTTTTTATTGTTTACCTTTTTAGTTCAACTCTGGAATGTATCACTGATGTGCTCGAAGTGGAAGGTAGCAGTAAAAGGCACGTTAGTTGTTAAATGATGTTAAATGAATTTACTTATTTTTCTGTGTGCTTGTATCTAGATGATTGACGCTACTGGACTATGAGCTTCTCAATTCTCTGAAAGATGCCCTGATTCCAGCTCTCCTCTACATCCGAATTTCATCCCCATTTATTTTTTTATTTTTTAACAAAATAAATCACTAATATAAATTTAACAAAATAAATCACTAATAAAAAATTAGAAGCAAAATTCTACTTGAAAGTTAAATACCCCATTGTTCCAAATTATAAGACATTTTAGTTTTTCCTAGATACACTATTTTACTATATGTATGTAGGCATAGTGTATGCCTAAGTGTATAGTAAAATATATGTATCTAGAAAAACCAAAACGCTTATAATTTGGGATGGCAAGAGTAAAAAACATTGTTCTATGGTTCAAATCTTGTCCCACACAAATTGCCGTTTCTAGCATGTGTCCCACTCCCCACTAGCCTAACCCTCTACGCCCTCCCACTCCAACCTCCCTTTGCGCTCTGATCCCTTCAACCCTTGTCCTCGGCAGATGCCTGTCTCCACCCTCATATATAGCGCCCATCTCCATTGCCGCCAGCGCCCCCATCGTCTTCTCCTCTCTTGCTTGGGAGTCCGCTCTGTAACCCTCCCTTGTCCTTCTTCTTCTCTCTTCCCCCCCCCGGCACCCGCTCCCTCCCCTCCTTCACAGGCGCCCCACCTCTTCTCCTCCACCGGCGACGGCGCTGCGTTAGGCGAGTAGCCGACGCCTCCAACCCTTGATTCCTCCATAGGTAGACAACTAAATTTCACACAAGAGAATCCAAATATGCCCTAATATAGTGGATGCCATCAGAGCTTCTTAACCTTCATTTTAAAGTAACTGTTGTTGACACCCAAAATTGTCCAGAGTGCGTAATTGACATCACTATCATGTTTCTGTCATCAAGGCGACCTGAAAACACACTTGGATCATCGCATTTGGCGCTTGGGCAAAGAAAACAACTTTTCAGGTGCTGAACCAGCCAGAGTCGGTTTAGCCGACTCCCTAAGTCGGCTGAGCCGACTTAACCAACTTTCTCAAATGTAATAATGGACTACACCATTGCATTCCTCTCATCGAGCTGATCGAAAAACATATATGGATCGCCTTGTTTGGAGTCTGGATGAATTGATTATGAATTTTGGAATTTCCAGCACCAAGTCGGCTTAGCTGAGTCTCCCAGTCGGCTAAGCCAACTCCTCTTATTTTCAGCGCAGAAATAGTGTCTCAGGCCTATGGAAGTCGGCTAAACTAACCTGGGAGTCGGCTAAGCCGACTTTTCTGCTGTTTCCGAGCTAGTTTGACCCCCAAGTCGGTTTTAGACCTATTTTGGACGTGGAAAACTTGGACATTGCGATTTGGACTTGTTTTCTATTGGGATAAGACCACCCCCTCTATATATACTAGAGAATCAGGGCCCATTGAGTTCTCAACTATCCAATCGTCATACAAACCAATCTACAAATTCCCTTTTACCCTCTTCTCCAACCTCCATGATGTTCATCCCTTGATCTACGACCAAGGATGGCGCCCTAGGCTTGCCGGCAGACCTAGGGCAACCCGAAGACATCCTTGCCCTGACAGGGTCCTCCCGGGCAAGAGCTTTGACGGTTTCTTTGCTAGTTTGCCTGAAAACTAGTCGGCTCTTCGTTACGCAACCACGTTGGTTATCCTTTGGTGGTTTGCTTGTAGGCATCTCCGTTCTTCACCACGAAAGAGTGGCATCTTCGCTGCATTCTTCGGTCCGTAGCGGTTCGGGCGTCCAAGGCCATGCTAGGGTGTGATTTGGACCACCTCAGACATCAACACACTTTTTGGTGACTCCGCTGGGGAAGATTGGTTCGGCTATCTCTGATAGCTGATCTCTCTAACCTAGCCTTACTCCTCGCTGATCTATCTTCTCGTGCTCGTTATTACAGTTGCATCTGGCCCAAAAGGCTGATCACATATGGTTTTGACCCCTTTGTCGACGACAAAAAGTGACAGGGAGCCGCGACACAAGCAAGCCGAGAGAAACCACATGGAGTAGATCTTGAGCTCTGTCCGGGCTTAGGAAGACACCGGACCAGATGGTCGTGACTTAGGGCATGCCAGTCAATTTGATCCTACAATTGACAAGGAGATAAGATTGATTAGTAATTTAAGGTGGAACATGTCGGTGTTTGTCCAGATAGTTTTAAATGTACGCCAAGCGGTCAGCAGGATAAGGCTATCGACTAGAGAGTCGATATCCATGATGTATGATAAGTGAAACAACTGTATCGGCAATCATCAATTGCTCAATTATATAGATTTAACCTACCGATCATCATGAAAGCATGCAAAAGATGTAAAAAGATAGGCGTGAAAGCATATGATTTGATCAAAAAAACATATTAGCTTTTAACCAGGATAAAAACAAGTAAAAAGCATGTAAACAACCAATACATATTCTAAAAAAGACAGGCTATTGGCTAAATAACCGATTCCAGCGAAAGAAGGGTCATAGCATGCAACCACTCAACCGTTAGACACGTACAAACCCGTACACCTATCAGATTTAATCTACTATCTTTAGCGGTGGAGTCAGACCTAACCGATGCAGCAATAAAAAAGATAATAAATTAAACATCCAAAGCATATAGATCTATAAATGCCTAACGAGATCGCGAGGAACACGCTATGATCATGAAAACTCAGGCGATCGGCTAAATAGCCGATGCAGACATAGCATTCAGGCGAAGACTATGCTTGGCCATAAGCGAGACTTACTACTTGACGATTTCCGATCTATGATGCTAACAGTGGGGTCAGACCTAACCGATGTAGCCATAAAAGCACTTCTAGACCGGATCTCATCAACTAGCAAGCCTTACCTAGGGCTAAACATGCCTTTGACCACACGCTATCTTCGATCAAGATCGGAATAAAACAGCTAGACTAGCAAGAACCATAGTCAAAGCAAGGTGTAAACAGTGTAATGCGACAAGATGACGATTCAAAAAGATACAAAGGCGATTTATCTCAATCTTAACTGGGCAGGGGATTTGTATCAAAATTTGTACGAGATCAGACTTAACCGAGGGCAGCCGTGCGGATTTTGATAAGGATCGAGGGTAACTATCAGCAATTGCAAGAGATCAGACTTAATCGAGAGCAGCCTTACAATTAACCGATGATAACTAACTTATACCAAGCTTGCAAGAGATCAGACTTAACCGAGGGCAGTCTTACAAACACAATATAAGTCATGACGGATACCCACAGAGAAACAGGAAATCGGACCTAACCGAGGGCAGCCCTGCTTGTCGAAAAACTCGTTGAAATCTACTCTTCTCCTACTCTAAGGGGTGGCGTGAGCCGAAAGGTAAAGGTATTGGTTTGTATTGATTGTTGGAGATGTTTTATAATCTGCCGTGACCCTTTATATTTATAGGGCTGCTGGACTTTGGGTATAAAAATAAGACTCTTTGCTACTTATACAAAGAAGCTAATCTAAATGTAATATTCCTAATTGGTTTGGCTACACGTTCACCTATTATTAAGTCAACTCCATCACGTCTCCTTGGCCCCGTTCGCATGCTTTTAAACCCGGCTTGATCCGCTTCTTTTTTTTATCTGAAACAGTGTTTTTCTCTCATAAATTCCTCCAGCATTCCTCCAAACCATCCAAATTCCTCCAGAATTCCTCTAAACGAACAGACCCTTGCGCCGGGCCAAACCAGATATGATAACGTATACTATGCATGTGCTTCTTATCTTGCATCTTCATTACGTCGGCAGCCTGGAGCCAATCAATTTCCTTTTCTTTCATGTACGACTCAAGGACGGCCAATTAAGGAACTTCACGTCTACATCAAAGATATGTTAATTCCCTAGTGTAGCCTAGCCAAATATTATTTTGGTTCACGTGTAATCTCCAGCATGTAGATACGCTGTGACAGAACCTTCCTCCTCGGCACACTTCCGTAAATGATGCACATGGTGCTGCATTTCCTTTGCTTTATCTTTTGGCCAAGTAATATTAGGAAACAATTTAATTAACCATCCCAAGCCTATCACGCTTGCATGTAAGTCCTGTTAGCTTGCTTCCTTCACGTAAATAGGTCTTGGACATCATGATTCTCAATATATATTAAATAATATTTTCTAGTCAGCTCCTAAATATTTCTTAATTAGGAAACTTTCTCGTTTTTGACATCATCGGCTGATCTCCTCCTTTCCAGGGCAAGCTTGCCAAATTTTGGTGTCAATACCCTTGTGATGTCGTTTGCGATTTTGCGACAAGTTGCCCAGCTTATTGGAAAATTAAGCGGGGCTGTCAAGTTATAAATCATGGGGTACCAAGGTGTTGCATCACAATATTACTACAATCACCTTGGGGTACAACTTGCAAATGCATCTTATGATCCCAATAATTATTTTATAAGTTCTATGAGCTCTCATGTTGATATTGCTAGTCATAATGATACTCGATATGTTGCATCGGCTGATACTTTTAACAATGTTTCTCATCATACACATCATAATTATGGATATTATGGTCAAGAGCCGATGTCTATTGTGAATTCTTTGAATTTTGATGCTATGAGCAACATACAACATGTAAATTATTATTCATCGGTTATAAGTTCACAATATGTGGTTCCATCGCAAGACATGCCGATGAATGAGAGAATTGGTTATGACAATGCTATTTATTTAGTCAATTGCTCTCAAAATTTAGCACCATATGCCAATGCTACTATTTATAATTCGGC